CGCTTTACACAATTGATGTGTGTATGGATTGGGATAACAGTTGTATGAGCCCCTAATAAAATGTTAAAAAAAAAAAGAAATCCAAGATAGGTAGATAAATAGTGATAGCAATTAGATTGATAATTGCCTAGGGGCATAGCAGGGTAGGATGGTGGAAACTGGGGCGTTAGCAGCAATGAATATAAGAAGAAAATATTCTGAGATTGATTGTAGTGGAGATTGCACAAATTGAATGAATATGATTGATTAAATATAATATGTGGAATATATGCCAATAAAACCATACTTTAAAGAACTCTATTATCTAGAGCTCATGACCCTTAAGTCCATAAACCCATTACTGCATCAGTCACTGAGGCCAAATGTGGTCCTCTCCTTAGCCTGAGTCACAAACCCACCTTCCCAAGACCTAGTCAGGAATCAACCAGCCAGAATCATGTACACTGAGAATGGTTGGAGAATGGTCTTGCAAGCAGAAACTGGGGTGCTGTAAATATAGAAAGGGAACATACTACTGGAGATGCCTCTCAATTCCAGACCTGCTGGTTGAATGACATACACAGAGTAGAGCTGATGGGGGAAGCTTCCAAGAGAATGACTGCCAGAGGCTTTGGGATTCCTTAGGAACAGATAAGAAAGGAAGAACTTGGAAGTATATTCTCTTATAATTTCTTTCATTAAAACTGTCAGCTATGCTTTAGAGTTTCCAAATTCCTATGGTATCTCTTTGGGGGCCAAGGGGATCCAACGTAGACCAAATCAAGAGGAAAAGTCTTATGGTGGTGCTCTATTCTACCTTTGGTGGAGAATTTACAGTGTCTTTCACTGTCAGAAATTGAACTGTAGTCCAGAGATCTTTGTCCTCAAAGGAGCTTCTTGACAAATGACCACACCCAAACCATTTGTGATGGTTAATCTGTGGGGTGAACTTGGCTAGGCTATGGTACCCAGCTTTTCAGGCAAACACTAGTCTAGCTGATGCTGTACAGCTAATTTGCAGGTGTGACTAACATCTATAATCAGTTGACTTTAAGTAAAAGTGTTGACCAGTGAGTATGTGAATGGGCATTGTCCAATTTGCGGAGGATCTTAAGAGCAACAACTGAGGTTTCTCAGAGAAGGAGTTCTGCCTGAAAACTGTGCTGTAGCAATCCTGCCTGAGTTTCCAGGCAGGAAAATTTTAGACTCGAAAAATTTTAGACTCAAGGGTTGCAACATCATCTCTTTGCTGAATTTCTAGCCACCTAGCCTGCCCTCCAGATTTTAGACTTGCCAACCCCACAGTCTTGTGAGGCCCCTCTCTCTCCATATACCAGAGGACTCCATAATGATCATGGAAAGTTTGAATGAAAAGATAATGTAATTTTTCAATGACATTTTAGAAAAATTATATATATATTCCATTTCTCTGAAGAACCTTGACTGAAACACCATCAGGTGAGCCCTAGAGGTCACAGGACCACCTGAGAACCCTAGCATCGGGCGTGCTTCCGGAACCATCACAATGAACTGCAGAACCCATAAAGCTTCTCAGAGGAGCCTTGGAGGAGAACGGCCTAAAGGCTTAAGTGAGGACTTCCCAAAATAAGAAGAGATGAAATCATTGACCAGTTAAAGATGAGCAGAATCCATGTGGCTCGAGGAAGAGAGGGCTGGAACAGAATGAGGACTGGGAAAAGAGAAAAGACCTTTTCTTTTCTTTTTTTAAATTATTTTTAAAATCATTTTATTGGGGGCTCTTACAGCTCTTATAACAATCCATACATCAATTGCATTAAGCACATTTG